TGCAGCCCATTGTCTTAAAGCGACAGTATAATGAGCCCGTGAAGGCATTGTCTTTGTATCTTTTGGAGGCCACGGGCACGAGCCTGTTCGTCATCACAGACAATTCTCAATTGCAATTCTGTTTGAGGTCCTCGATTTTTTCCTTAAGTAGGTCTGCCCACTTTTCTTTCATATGCCCCTTCTTCCCCTTAGGAGCAGGCTGGTAGTGGGCGTGCCACCAGCTGTAATCAACTGTCATTTGAAAAAACGGCTTCATCGTTGGCTTCATCTTCCCGTCGTCACACGAACACACACGGACCACACAACCAACACAACCACTCTGAGTCAAGCTCAGCAGCAGACTGAGCGGCGCCGTCCCGCCGTCGCCGTGGTGCCAAGCCCCCCTCCCACCACCACCCCCCACCGCCACAACGCTCCTGAAAACGTGGCGGGATGAGGGGCGGCGGCGGCGTATGCTCCCCGCCTCCCCGCTCGCCCTCTCACGCCTCCAGGACCGTGCGCTGCGCCGCGCGGGGATTTTAATTGAATATAGACTGTCCAATTAAACCCTAGTTAGTAGCACTTCGTAGAATGCTGCACTCCAGGGCCGAGGGAGGAGGTTGTCGGGGACGTGCTCGCACCCTTCAACAGGACCTTGCGCCCTGCATCCTGGCTACCGCCACAAGGTGGGTGACGACGGCCACGCACGCCTGTGAGGGGAGAGACGGGGCTGAAGTGGGGACGTGTGACCGTCAGCAGGACCTCATGCCATGTCCTCCTTGCTACCACCACCAGGCGTGTGACGACCGAAGTGACGCGACCAAGGTGCCGTTGACGGGCGTACCAGGTGGCTGATTCACGCCGCGCACTTCTGCAGTTATGCTGTACCGCATGCACTTCCAACAACAACGCAACGAATGCAGCAGGCAGCACACACTGAAATCAAAAAAAAAAAGTGAGCACAGATATCACAATATTAGTCTTGATTAACACGTTTCAACAGACAACACATGTTAAACGGAAAGGGTTCATACATAAACGGGATAGCCCAAGACTGCGTGCCTTAATGCGACCAATTCCGATTGTTGGGTTCTGCATCATCAAAATAGAGAACAAGTGGCAGAACAAGACGGCCTTGGAAGTAAGTCTCTACAACATTTTTCCATAATTCACCCTGAATAAAATTAGAAAATGTATCAGACCTGTTCAGCTCATTAATATTGTCCAGTGTGGATTGAAACACTCGAGGGAGCTGTAGAAATTTTTTCAGTATTTTTTTTCATGCAGATATACTGACCAGTTAACTCCACAAGAACTCTTTGCTCAATGCTGTTAACTTTTTTCACTATCCAATCTCTTCCGATAAAGTATGATTGAAGAGTGAAGTAAGCATCATACTCTTTAAGTGCTGCAACTCTCTGACTTTCAGTTTCTAGTCCTTCTAGTGAGTTTGTCCGTGCTCTAGGTTGTTTTAATCGACCTTTGCTGTTGTGATGAAGAGAAAGAGAAGGCCTTCACTATTTTTCTTTTATTCTTTCACAGTCATTATTAAAGAATGTGTAAAATTATGTTGCCTAGGCATGTGCAATTATATTCTCTCCTCTATGTCAACTGTAAGAGTTTTCATGTTTGTTTAGTACACATGTATGGTGCTGCGCAAATTAAAGAGTGATTTTAATAGAATTAAATAACTAGGTATCTCCATAATTTGTTGCAGTTTCTTTTCCTTCCCAAATTGTAGCATGCTCAAAAATTGACAGGAAGGCATGGGGCATGGGACAGAGAAAAGAAGAATCAAGTATTCTAGAAAAAAATGTATTTCTGGAAATGATTGAAATACAAGAAACAGTAGTAGAAATCACAAGCATCGACATCTGGGCCGTGGCTGCACTGGGTATTTTAGAATGTTAAGTACAGACGGGTACAAACAATAAGGCCAGCAACGTCAATGAAAACTATGGAGGTACGGAGGACACTCCAACATAGAAAATTAAAACAACATGTTACTTAAAACTAGGAGTATGGGGTACACTCCAACGTGGAAAAATAAAATAATAAGTAAGGCGTTACACAACAATAAGATACCAGAAACAAATCATTGAGAGCACAAGTAACTCAATTAAATCTGTGCATTTATGTACTCTAGAAATAAGTGTATTTCTGGAAATGATAAAAATACTCGGAGGAGCAGTACAAAGCAAAGAGTTACTTCACTTTTGTGCCGTGGCTAGACTCGTGTATTTTAAAAAGTAAAATAAAGACAAGAACAAACAATAGGACCAGCCACGTCACTTTCAACTGGAAGTATAGGGGACACTCCCAAGTACAAAAATAACATCAGAATTAGGGCGTAACAAATTATGAAGTCACCAAAAACAATTTATTTCAAGATGGCTATGATTTCACGTGAGAAATTCTTAAGCTGCCTGGAAATTTATAAAGTTATCTACTTTTACTGCAAGTACACATTAAACACAAAATAATTGGTGGGCAAATGGACAGAAAAACTCAACATTAAAACCTCTGCTGTTCTGAGAGAATTTTAATGGAAAGAAATATCATATAACAATGTACTGTTTTGAATCCTTTTCTGCTAAATGTGGGTAGTTTAGGCACTACTTGTCGTTACATAAAAATTGAGAAACAGCAGAATCAAGATATGAAAGGAAGGCAGATTACGGGTATTACGTATGAAACAGGAAATCACATAACTTGAAGCGGTTCAGTTCAGATATCGTCACTATCAGTTTCTTGAAGAAGATAATATATTTCTTCAATACTTTTAGAAATGAGCTGTTGGTGGTCACTCAATTCTTCTGGGGTAGCATCACACTCAATAAAAACCTTCTCAATGTTTCCTTGGAGTTTGATGTCAAATTAACATTAGGTTTGCCTTTTCAATGTTAAATTGACATCAAAAAACCGTTTTACATTTTTTGAAAAACTGGTATTGTTTTTGAAAATTGTCAAATAAGTTTGTGGCGAGAAGCTTCATTACTGACAGCGTCACGTTCGCCCTTTTTCCAAAAACTACCTTTTGACATTTAAAATGTCTATGTTGAGTTGATAAAAAGTACGCCTGACGTTAAAATATGTTTATTTGATAACAAGAATGTGCGGATGTATAATAGTAGTATGAATACCCCTCTGTCACCCCCCGCCATTTTGATTCCCCAATGTCACCTCCCCAATGTCACTTCCCCTTTTTTTAGGGGGGTGTCTTTTTGGCGACTAACCTAATCTATTTTTTTGAAAAGGATGCTTTTTTTGTGTTTTTTTTGTGAGGAATCTTTTTTTTTTGGTGTGTAACCTAACCTATTTTTTTTTGTGAGGGTATCTTTTTGGCGACAAACCTAACCTAACCTATTTTTTTAAAAAGAAGAAGAAGAAGAAGGATTTTTTTTTGTGTGTATATTTTTTTTTTTTGTGAGAGTATCTATTGGGTGGGTAACCCAAACCTAAATTAAGTCCACGTATACCCTTCTCTGTGGCTCATGGCCCCAATGTCACCCCAATGAATGAATGGCTTAAGATCTGGTCCCGTCCCACCGGCTCATGGGTTCAAATCCACTCTTGTCATTGGTTTTTGTGTGTGTGCGCGCGCACAGCAGTGTCCCCTTGTGCCCCAATGTCACCCAATGTCTTTAAAGGAAATTGGGTTCAAATCCCACTTTTTTTTATTAATGTATTTTTCTTGATTACTTATTAAAGAAGTTGGTGTTCAAACCATACGCCAATGCGTTGAGCGTTTTGTTCAGCACAGCTAAGTGATGAGTGCATGCTTTTACTGTTAAGATCAGAGAATGGCAGTTTAGGTAGGGTATCCAGGCGTGGACATCCCAGTACACCAATGTCTGTGATACGTGCATGGGACACTATATTCTGTAGGATTGCCCTCTTCTCATCTCCTTTGACATACAGATCGGCATAGATACTTGTCACCATTTTAATGTAGTCGTGACACTCTGAGTATGGCAGTGTGCCCTGTTCCCACGTGATGCCGTGAATGCGCTTCGTAATGTAGTCATTTTGTTTGCGCTGTTTGGGTGGGAGCCAGTCGGCTGGATAAGGCGGAGCAAATATCTCCGTGTAGCTTTTATTAAAGTAGGGGTCATAGATGCTAAATTCTTTAATGACATACTGCCCACTTGCCTCCCTAAGCATTTGCATGTCACAGAAAGCATAGGACATCTTGGAGTGAACTGGAAGAAGCCGAGGGAGAGGCACAGGGTAACGGTCGGGGTTAAACATGATGTGAACAGGACGAAGCGAACAGTAGTAATGACTGCATGCGGTGGTCGTCCTTGATTTATACCAGCGTTCGGCCGCTCGCGCGCCACCTATCGGTAAATATCAGCCACTCAAGTTTCAAACACGTTACAACACGACTGGTGCTAGGCTCGCTCACCGCGCGCCTGCTGAGCAACTGTCCCGCCACCCAGTGCTGAGCCGCTACTGCAGCATACTGAAGTTGCTGAGGTTGGGCAGCGCCGGCACCACCGGCATGGCCTTGGCCGCGTCAGGCAGCTGGCGTGGTGCTGTGTGGGGGGATAGCAGCGCTAGCACACCCATCACACGCAGCGCGAGCACACGCAGCGCGGGCAGCGCGGGCAGCGCGGGCAGCGCCGGCAGAGCCTTGAGCCGCGTTTTCGAGCTCGGCCTCGCCCTGGCCACCATAGGGCCGCCCCGGTCTGCGGAGCGGGAGCGAGTTAAGAGCGCCACCGTAGCAAGAGGGATGCGGGGGGTGAAGGAAGGGTTCGGTGGGGAGGGGGTGTGTGCCGGCATGTTGAAGCCTGCCTCAGCGCCTCGCATTTGTCCAGCGTCCACCTTCGAACAAGGTCGTATGTAACGTTGATTGATAGAAGAAAAAAAAATTCAAAAGATGTCTGATGAAGAGTTCATAGATGTTGAGGAGGTGTCGGGGGATACAATTGATCTGAATTGCTCGTCTAACTTGGGATTGGTAAGTAGAGTGCCTTTTTAAAAAATACAGTCGGATGTGAAATGATAGCGAATGAAATTTCACGGTTGCACCATAATGCTTGCCACGCCATTATTTTTCAAAAGAAAAAAAAAATGCCGTGGCAAGACATTCGTTTTTTCAGTTAATCCTGTGCCAATGAGGCAAAATTCGGTCGTTTTCTCATGATCTCGCGTTGCGAGCCTATGTATGGGTGAGTCCCACGTGCGGTACGGTTTTGGTTTTCTAGTTGT